TTTGTATCTCTTCTTGAACAATATGAGGTTTGCTCCGATTCACCATCTTTCCTGTTAATGTTGGCATTTGTTAAATTGTACAATAAACAGATGCCAGGACACATCTTGCTTATGTATCATGTAACCCATCCTGCATAAACGTGTTGGAGTTTTGAAGCAACATGGCTCGAAATCATTTCGCTTAGTTTCATGTTTGAGTACCATCAAAAACCACATTTATATCTCATTCACTTAATTTATGGCATACTATTTGTTTGTTCTAGTAACAGACTTGATAGCTTTTCAAAGTAGTTCACATGGAATCTGTATATTCTCCTCCAGCTTTTTTAAAATTTTGATGCTTAATTTCAGTTCTCTTGCACTAATGTCCTCTTTATGGCAATAGTTTTATCCATTATTGCAATCTTGAACTTGATTTGAGATCAACATATTATTGCAACATGGAAACTTTCACTCTAAATTTTGTTGCATTCTGCCTTCTGATCATCAATCACCTTGTTGATTCGTCTCCTTGAAATATTTGGTTGACTTCTGCCACATGTCATTGTAATGCAAAAAGGTGTGATAATTTTAATCCTGCACTCTTCTTTAGGTAAGGCTTCAAACGGGATCTGAAAGCAATCCAAAATCTACGGTGAGCAATTGTGTTCCTCGGCTTCTTCCGAATCCCAAGATAAGTTTTGTGAAAAGGCAGAGCTAAATAAATGGAGCAACTTTTGGAATGTGTCAATCGTTTTTCCTTTTGAACTACATGGGATGCAATTTTTGGGGCTCATTCGGCACTCAAACGGGAGGATGTTATGTGAGTATAATAATTCTATGTTTATAGTTTTTCCTCCATGCTTTTGAGATGGTCCTGGTGCTGTCTTTCTGTGCGATGAAATTGTAATTTGTTTTTAAAGTACTGGGCTATTGTGCTCGAGCCTTTCGTTTTCTTTCCCATTGTGAAAGTTGTAAGTTGAACCCATTCCATTTGCTCCCTTTTTTCCCTCTCTGTGCAGTGTGTTTTTTTACATCATTTGGAGATAATTGGCAATGTAAGCACTTCTGTGTATGTTTCGATTGGTTAATGCTATTTGGATAGTTGTAAAGTTTTGATTATCTAAGCACAGGTGATTTGAGATCAAGATTCCTTTTGCTTTTGTACTTGCTTATACTTTCAGCTTGGCCTTGGCTCAAGCCTTTATCTAAAATTAGTATTAAGGGGTGGCGTTTGATTCCAAACTTAATCGTGGGCTAGTTTCACTGCGACGCATTGCATAGGCTGTTTGTCCTTTTCATTTTAACTATCACAGTCATCAACAACCAATGAGCATCATTGATGTGGCCATAACCCTTGCATAGCGAAAGCTATAGAAAAGAATTAAATCTCACGACAAAAATTTCAACTTGTTGATTCGTTCACGAAAACCAAGAAGAAGAGAACAATTTTGAAAACAGTTCTCAAAACTCTTTATTATAATCAAATTTGAATGTCGTAAGGCTATAGAGTAATAAATCATATCATATATTAATTTACTAGAACATAACTTATTTGTTAGAAGATGACTAATAATTTCCATTTGTCCATTTAACAGTGTTGAAAAAGAATCAAATGAAGTTTTTGCCTTATTTTTCAACAATATTAGATTATTAATATTTATTTTCTATTTTTCAAGTTGTAGTTTAAAGAAATGAAGATCATAAATTTTGAATACATTCTTTACCATCTTATGACCAATTTTTTTTTTTTTTTCAATAAAACATCATAAGATTTTAGTAATTAAATTTTTCAATAAAACAATCGATATGTAACATATAGGGTCTGTTTAGCTATTTATAATAACAAATTTGTAATATTTCTGTTTTTCATTTCATTTTTCTTTCACCAACTAAAATATATTTGGCACATTTTGCAAAATACGGTATGCGAATTATAAATACATTCTGAATGCAGAATGTATTTAAATGTTAACTATACCATATTTTTATTACAATGAAGTCCCTAACTTTTGTTATTTTTTCTACTTATATCTCTAATTTTTTTGGTCGCATTCTTATCCTTGACATTCTATTATTTAGTACATCTTCAGTTTTTGTAAAAATATCGAGGGGAAGGATGTATAAAGATTTATTTGATTCTCGTATTTTAAATAACAATAAATAAATAAATACAAAATTCGATAAAATATTTACCAATATTGTCAAATAGTAGAATAGAAATTGTCACCATAGTAATATGCTAATTAATTGGAAGTTAATGATAAGAATATGAAGAAAAAAGTCGAAAATATAAGTAAAAAAATGAGTAAAGATTGTGAGCTTCCTTTAAAATAAAATGTGGTGTAGTTACCAATGAGAAAAAGAGTGATAGATGGGAGGATAATATGGATATGAAAAAAAAAATACTAAATAAATAATTGATATAATTTATTTGAGTAATGTTTATTTACTTTTTGGGATCATTTTAAAATTATGGAACACTTTCACTTTTAAAACTTGGCTGTATTTATGCTTCATTTTCTATATTAAATATATATTTAATTAAACTATCAATTCGATAATAATTCATCAATTGAACTTAAAGACTAGTTGGTCAAATCAGTGATATAGAAACCTAATGATTTGGCCAAGTCAACATATGACCGCGGTCTGAATCTAATAAATATGCATTAAAGAACTTGTAGTCTATGCATAAAGAATAATGATATCTCGCACCAACAATACTATGGTCCTGTTTGGTCTACATTATTTTTTTCATTCTCATTCTTCTATTAGTTTTCAATCACACATTCTTTAATAAAATAATATTTTTCATCACATCAATAATTTTTCCTTCTTTTTCAACCACATATTTCCCATCACATAAACAGTAAAAATGCATTCTTAGCTTTAAAATGTGCACCAAAAGGGGACTATATAAAGAATAATGCCATCAAATTAATTGGTCATGTATTATTTCTTGATCACAAATCACAAATTTCATAAGTCGCAAATTATTTATCGATCACAAATCATAAATTTTATAAGTCACAATTTATTTTACAATCATAAATTATCAAATTAATTGGTTACAGCTTAACAAATTGTAAGTCACAATTACAAATTTAGTCGCAATCTTACATTTTTTTTAGATCACATATTATCTATTGATAACAAATTATCTATTTTATCGATCACAAACACTCTTCACCTCACTCCACCACCACCACCACCACCTACTTGCACCATCACAGTCGCACTTCGCCTCACTACAACCAATGTCAACACCACCACACCTCACCTCACCTCACCTCACCATCACTGTCAATACCATTACCATTACAACCTCCACCACCACCAACTGTAAAAGCCATAATCGTACTGCACCGCATTGTGCACCACCATTGCACCGCGCAGCACAACACTGTCATCTGAACTCTACCACTGCACCATCTTCACTGCGCGCGGCGCCATCGTCAATGCCTACTTTGTGCAGCGACGATCACTATCCCAAACTCCACCAAAAAGCACCAAAAAAAAAAAAAGATATGGTGGTACCAAGACAACTACGCGCTGTTGTAAGGCATTGTGCCTGTATCTTTCATTTAATAATATTTAATATTACCTAAAATTGATGTAGTAACACTGGTGCTAAATAATATTTTTTACCTTGCGATTATTTTTCTTTTTTTTTTTTTTGTTTTATTTCTACTCGTCATTGCCATCACACAATTTATAGAGGGTGTTTGGTGAGAATTAAAATTAGATTTTTAGTGGATTATGATAGAAGTTTTTGAAATTGTGGTTAAAAAGATATGGGACCCATGAAAAATGTAGCTAATATTGATTGTTTGACTTTGACTTAAATTAAAATCAGATTTTAATCCTAATCCGGCCCAAACAGGCCCAGTTACATTATTTTATTTCCATTTATTAAATTTGAATGTTTTTGGATGAATATTACTAAAAATTTAATTAAAATAGATACACTTTTTTAGAAAGAAAATAAGCCCCTGTTTGGGCCATATTCTTTTTTTTTTCCTCAGTGACCATATATAGCCTTTGTTTGATAGAATTAATTTTAACCACACATTTTATGGGTAACAACTTTTATCAAAATTTAGAGGGTGTTTGGTGGGGATTAAAATTAGATTTTTAGTGGATTGTGATAGAAGTTTTTAAAATGTGTGGTTGAAAAGATGTGGGACCCATGAAAAATGTGGTTAATATTAATTGTTTGATTTTGACTTAAATTAAAATCAGATTTTAATCCTAATCCGGCGCAAACAGGCCAGTTACATTATTTTATTTCCATTTATTAAATTTGAATGTTTTTGGATGAATATTACTAAAAATTTAATTAAAATAGATGCACTTTTTAAGAAAGAAAATAAGCCCCTGTTTGGGCCATATTCTTTTTTTTTTTCATTCTCATTTTTCTACTCATTTTCAACCACACATTTTTCAATAAAATAATATTTTCCATCACATCAATAACTTTTCCTTCTTTTTCAACCACACATTCTCAATCAATCTATTATTCCAAAATATTTTTCAATAAAATAAAATTTTCCATCACATCAATAACTTTTCCTTCATTTTCAACCACACATTCTCAATCAATCTATTATTCCAAAATACATTCTTCCAAAATAACGTGGCTCAAACACACCCTAAATATGTATATTTCTACATTGCTTATTTACTTATAGTTATGAAAGGAAATTTGTGAAAAGAACTCAAATCAACATGTCAGAATTAAAGCTTAATTAACTGTAATCAAGAGTAGTTTGTACTGAATTTTAAGTTTTAAATAGGATCCAAATACAAACTAGTTTAGAATATATAAATATATAATAATAATTTATTACACATTAAAATTGTTAATTATCTTCTAAATTTGATATATAACGCCAAAAATGATTAGAGACAGAGATATGTTTCCATATTTAAGTGATTTAGTATTAATTGTATCTCTATATGAACATCATAGCTTCGTTCTTTTTTCCAAACTTGTGAGGAAAATAAGTTGTTTCACAATGGAAACCCTAGAAAAGGCAATGACGATGAAGGAAAAAGTTGTGGAACAAGGGTTCCAATCGAAGGTAGACGACAAATCTACTTCTCGTGTCGTGTTAGATCTCAAACTTTTTAATTCTAGTTCTACTCGTGCAAGTAAGTCATCACGATTAGAGCGTAAAGTATTCACATGCAACTTTTGCAAGAGAGAGTTTTCCACTTCTCAAGCACTTGGAGGGCATCAAAATGCCCATAAACAAGAGCGTGCATCGGCCAGAAAACGACATGGCCTAGTAATGGAAGTGGCGGCGCAACCACCTCCTCCTCCTCTTTTGGGCGGCAGGCATCCACCGTATCCCTACCATCCCTACTCCAACATTCCTCATCATCATCATCATCATCAGACGATCCCTTTTTATGGCACTTTGGATAGATCAGTTGGTCGGGTTCTATCCGATTCCTTGATTCATAAACAATCTTATAATCCATGGTTTTCGTCTAGCCAAAAAAAGTTGTCTAGGCCAATTTTCCTGAACTCCTCGACATCATCGTACGATAGGCTGTTGGTGCAAAATAATCAAATGAATTTTGGATTTAGCCATGAAAAGTCAGAAAGAGTTAGCGCAGCTCTTGTCTTGAGACTTAATTCTATGGATAATACAGCACCAAATAAGGCAATGGAAGGTAATAATAATAATCAAGAACTTCAATGGGGACATGATCAAATTGATGCATCTGGTCTTGATTTGAATCTAAAGCTTTAACTTATTCATTTTTTAATTATTATGTTTTTAAATTTTTACAGTTTTGATTTAAGAGTTATTACATATATCCATTTTTCTTGTAATGAAATATATTATTGAATTGAATTGCCATTATTTATTATTTAAATTTCAAATTTGAAATTCAAAACAAGTTATTGTTTGTGGCATGTAATTTAATTTCTTTTTACTGTCTCTCTCCCTAAATTAATGAAACCAAAGACATGATCAATATTTTTTATGAAAGCAAGACTTAATCAATATTAATTGTTAAATCAAATATTTTTTAGGGTATTCTACCCAATGTTCTATTGGACAATCATGCTACAGTGCCAGAATTATTGACACAATGGTTGACATAATGCGACTTTGCCAAATGAATTATGATACAACGGTTGTCATAATTCTATGTGGAGAAAAATGACTTGAAGGAAAAGATGACTGTGTTTTAAATAATCCAATGATACAGCGCCAAGTGGCATTATGTCAATCGTTGTATCAATAATTCTGGCACGGTAGCAAGATTGTTATGCTTGAAAGCTTAAAAAGGTTATGAAAAGTTGTGTGGCAAAGTTTAAAAGTTCACTTTGAAGTGAATTTACTTGTAAATAGAACACAAAAGTCTACAATAAATAACATTTATTTTTATCTTTTTGTGAAAGGTAAATAAGTGTATTTTGAAAGTAAGAACATAGATTAAGGAAAAAAAGTTACTAGGAGGAAAAAATCCAAAGAAAGAAAAACATAAAAGTGACCTACTTTAGGCTTTTGCAAATATACTGAGTAGTTATAAAAGGAAAGCCATTAAAATATTTATGAACAGTCTAATTTTCCTTGGTTACATAGAGCTCAAACTAGATATATTGGCTTTTGTTTTCCTGTCTAATGCTTAAAAATATGTGATATAAAATAAAATAAATCATTCACTCTAGTTTACAAATTTGCTTAATACAACTAAGCTCCTATATGATAACCATTATTTTGAAAAATGATGTTTTGAATATTAATTTTTTGGAGAATATGTGATTAAAAAGTAGGGAAAAATTTTAAGTTTACGTGTAAAATATTTTATTGTGTAAACGTGTTGTTGAAAATGAGTATGAATGAGAAATAAAGAATTTCATTTTAAAAGGAGACAAACACGTAATTTCATATAAAGATTAGAGAAAATTAAGCGTTGTTTATAATACTAAACTCTCAAGGGGTAAAACGTAAAGTTCATTTTTATTCTCTATGAATTTGGTCGATTTTGGGTTTGATAATTCTTATTTGAACGTGTTTAATTCCCAATTCATAATTTATGTTGACTTGACATGATAAATAATATCACTGGTGACACATTGACATTGAACGATGTTACATAAGATTTAACATTTATATTTTTAACCGAGAGACAATTTGTACAAGTGTTAGAAACTTGAGTGACTATTATCGTAAAAAAAAAATTAAAATTAATTAATCATTAACATAATTTCTCAACACTTTAATGACCAATAACGTAATTAACCCAATATAGATCCCATAAATCCAATTATACAATAATAATTTGATAGTGCAACATAAGCATGTCTCTACAAGGTAGATCATGTAAATGAAATTTAAGTGGGAATTATCTCCATCGTAGGTGCTCCTTTTCTTTCTTCTTTCTTCGTATGCCTGTACAAAAACCACCAAAATCTCATTCTTAAAGTAACATATCTGTCTACTCACTGTGTACACTAGCTTCAGCGGATCAGAAGAGGGAAAGCAACTTGGGGTTCGATCCCTCATTCTTTATGAGGGAGAAGGTTAATAGGTAATGTACTAACAATCTCCTTTCGTACAGACCGATAGAGAGAAAAGAGCAACTACAGTAGCGACAGATTCCTCCTTCCCCCGTTTCTTCTCTTGGATGAACTCTGATATTACTGAAAGTTGACTTCAAGAATAGTGTTAAAGGCTTCTTAATTCACTAGCCCGCTCTTCTTCCAACTCAATCTCCAAGAGTAACTAGGACCAATTTAATCACCTTTTCATCTTCCAATTGAAGACTCACTACTCAGGTATTTTGATTTTCACCTAGCAACCCAAGCATGCAGCAGAATGAGACCTACATTTCATGTTACCTAACAATGAAAGAACTTGACATCTGCATGTTCCCAACCTTCAATTACACAGTCATGGCTATTTATTATAGCCAAAACTGCTGATCAAGTATTGTATTGGTATAGTTCTCTAGTATACAAGCCGATCTCAAAGTGAACTCACCACGAGTATGCCCAAATCTCACGAGAAATATTGGCCACGAACTTGACACCAGTAGCAGGCTAGGTATGCAACCAGTACAAAACTTTGGAGAAGTGAAGATAAATCCAATGAAAAAAAGGTTAACTGTTAAGGATAAAAACAAACTGTTGCTCCACTCCTTTTAGCACCATATATATAAGCAATATTGATCCTCCACTTCTATTGATCCTTGCATTGTCTCTAAAGCACTTTCAGCATGTACCATGTCAATCTCAACTGAAGCAAAATAGTCCATATACTTCCAATGCCTTGTGCAAGCGTGGTAACGCATTGGCTCAAGCCATTGCAAGAGTGGGACGCCGCATGAGTATTGAGAATGCATCTTTGCGAAATTTAGCCCCTGTTTGGCCCCCATTAAATTAAAATTCATTTTTCTCCCTCTTCTTATCAACCACACATTTTTCAATAAAATAATATTACACGTAAACCTAAAAAAATTTCTTTCTTTTTAACCTCACATTCTCCAAAAAAATACTATTTCTCTCATTATAAATTGAAATAATGGAGCCCAAACAGGGGCTTAATGTGTACACCCTTACCATGTCCCGTTCAGTACTTGAATGAATCCAAGAAAAGACCAAGGGTAAGGCCAGCCTTCCAATAATTGCTCATGGTGATCAAGTTTCTTATGTTATCCACCAAGGGTAGTGAAGACTTGTACATGAGAGCCCCAATCCCCTCCACTACAGCTACAGTTAAAGCAGCAGATAGAACGTCCCAGTCCCCTGTTTGCCCAATTACAGTTGCAAAAGCCGTAGCACAATAGAAGCCAATCAAGAAAAACAGTAACTTGGCAGGAAGATTTTTCCTCAATTCCTTGATTCTAGCATTCAACTTTACTTGTAGAGCTTGGATGGCCCTAATAAGCCTAGTTCCACCAGTGTCATTTGGGGAAGAATTTAGTCTACCACCATCAGCTGCACTTCTAATTGACCATGACATCCTCCTAAACAATTATAAAATAAGTTTTAGCTTACATGCATGCATAAATGCGCTTTAAAAACATATAATCTAAGATCTTTGTTTATCTAAACAATGATACGGCATCATGTAACAATCTAATTATTTTTTATAAATCTCTACGAGGGTCTTGAAGAAACCAGTGCAAGAAAAATCAACATCACTATTCTAGATACTCAATGTTGAACATAATAGTATGAGCCACATGACAAAATGTCAACTGCAAGTGCAAAAAAATTTCAAATGAAAAAGAATGCAGCTAAGACAATCAGATAAATGGATGGCAAGAAACCTTGATCTGGAACTTCTAGGTATTAGGCGTTCGAAACTTGTCAAATAGNGCGTTTGAAACTTGTCAAATAGCCAGGTGATGGCATTTTGGTAGCAACTACCATGGAGAAACCTGAAAGCCAAAACTCAGAATTAGTTTGAACCTTTAGCTCTCAGTATTTGACCACACCAAGCCTTCAGATCACTGAATGGAATTTATTATGCACTTTATTGGAGTTAGTAGCTTTATCATTCAATAACAAAGTAAAGAAACCGAAGCAGCCTAATTATGTTAAATCTATTCAGGCCACACAACCCAAATCACAAAGAAGTTTCAGAAGCCAATTTCCTTCTGTATCTACGTTTTGGCCCTCAGAATTTAAAGAATGGTCCAGTACCAATGTAAAACGTAAAGGTTCAGAAGCAATTCGTACACATTTTTTTTCACAATTTTAAGTTTAATGCTAACATCGAAAATTTAATTTCTAAATATTTGAATTATCCCTACTTCCTAAGTTTTACTCTATCATCATCTAGATAATCTACAGATGACCTCAATCACCTGATAATCTAGCTTTTCCATACAAAATCACCTTAAAATGGGAACTATTTTTGGTAAGAAAAGAGCAGATAATAACATCCATATTTGCCCATTGATAAAGCATACTGATAAAAGAAAATGGAGGCCAGTGGCCACAAATGGTAAAAACATCTAATAACAAAAGAAAATAATGACAATAAAGAATGAGCAAAATGAACAAAAAATAAAAAAATACATCCAGTTGTCTCAATAAATTCCACACGGACAAACTCATCAATTAAGTCCGGTGGAGAAATTTTTACCCACCTTTGAGAGCTCAACAGGATAAGGATCGTACACACGACACCACATCACAAATTTACATGCAAAATATAATACCCTGCCAAATAAATTGTGTTCTGCCCCCAACTAACTGAATAGGTAATAATATCAAATTACAACAATTAGACGTGTATTTATTCATCTTTTTCTTGATAAATAAGGTTTTTACTTTAATCCTTTGATGAGGTAACCTAGCAATTCTATTTTCACCGCTCTCTTTTCCTCCAAAAACACGTTTCAATGCACGCTAAATGCATGGTTTCCCTACGTAAGAATTCTCTTAATTTTCAGAAATAGCAAGTAGAAATTGGAGCAAATTACACGCAAATAAAATTTTCAAAAATAGGAGAAAAATAATAAATTAATGGGTGGCCAGAATTTACCTGATCGGAGATCTCGGCGGAGAATCACCAAAAAATGAACTTTACAGCTTAGTTTTGTTGAAGGTTACAGTCTTATAGAGTATGGTGATTAGTGGCTGTTGGGGAAGATGGGTAAAAACCCTTCGAGGGAATTGTTGAACTAGAGTCGTCACCTACTGTTTTATGTTGTTGCTTTTTGTGGGCACCATCGACCAGGAATTGGAACTTAGACCTAAGGCTTTAAGCAAAAATCGTCAAACTGAAAAATCGAACGGAAATCGCATTTTAAAAATCGTCGGTTTGATGCCACATGAACTCGTCAACGAAATGGTTTTGAACTAAACCAAACCGTTACGGTTTGATTTAGGTTTGAAAATTTTAATTGCGATTTAAAACCAAATCGGATCGGCGAAAAAATATATATAAATAAATAAGTGAAAATTTCTAGAAAAATCCAAATATGTAAAATTTAATAGTTATTATTGCCCAATAATCCTAATTTATATCTAATAATCTCAAGACCAACATAATATATCAAAAGTCATTTTTCTCTTCAGAATTCAGATGAACTTCATCTGACACCGACACAACCTTGAGCCACCAGCACCACACCAAATCGGAGACAAGGAGATCATGGGTCTTCGATGATAATATTTGCTACAAATAAAGTTTTAGATCAATAATTTTTTTGAGCAAACCGAGGGCGTTTGACACCAATTTTTTGGAGAATGAAATTTTTGGAATAGTGATTGATGGGAGAATGTGTGGTGGAAAAGTTTTAGATTTGTGTGTATATTATTTTATTGGGAGAATGTGTGGTTGAAATGAAGAAAAAGAAAAAAAAATGAGAATGAGATGAGAATGGGTGTCAAACAGGGGCTGAAGAAAGAAATCTGAAATTATATGGGTTTCGCATTTCTCTCAACTACTGGATGATTGTGAAATAAATTTATTCACTTTGATGGAAATGGTTTATTTATTATGTACATGATTATATTCTATTTGTGTAGACATACTCTTGTTTTGTGACTGAATTAGGCATGATAAAATATGTCAATAGAAGCTAAAAAGTGTTCATGTACAATTTGATATGTGGATGAGCCGTTTAATAAGCTAAAAGAAACCAATAATGACTCCAGTAGCAACTATACTTGCATCAATTTAATTGTTGTGTTTTATTGTATGCTTAGATATTTTGTTAAACTGTTTTTTTAAGTGTTTTGAATTAATAAAGATGATATCTATTTAGTTAGCCTATTGAAATCTTGGATTTTGATCTAGTTGACATAAAGTTTATCATTTAAGGTGTTGCCTTATTGATATCTCAGTAACTGTATTATGGAACTATATACTTTCAAATAAATATTTAGTTTATAGGTGTTTTGGGCCTTATATTTAGTTTATTA